TATATATATATATGTATATATGTATATATGTGTGTGTGTGTGTGTGTGTGTGTGTACCTATTTGCTGTCTATATATTTCTGCTCTATAAATACCCACTCTGTGTGTTACAAACTGTGGCCAACAGTTTCAGTCTCAGAGACACACTGAGTCTGTATAAGACAGAGAGGAGGGGCTCTCACTATAAGCCCCTCCCCCTCCATATAAACCCCTCCCCTTCATCTGTCAGTCAGTCAGTTCTTCTTCTGTCCTCTCAGTGGACACACTCTTTCCTGTCTCGTCTTCTCTGGTCACACTTGGACATCAGCATGTGTCTTCGTCTGTCTTCGTCTGTGGCGTCCTCAGCCACGTCTTCATGGTAAGGTTCTTCCCTCGTCGCCGTGGCGGCGAGCGTCGTGAGCGTGACCTGCTGCGGCAGGTGAGGCGGCAGGGGCGCACGGCTGACGGGGAGAAAGAGAGTGAGAAAGGTGGAGGAAGAGGAGGAAGAGGAGGTGGGGTGAGGACGAGAACGTCGGCACGATTCAGGTGGGAGAGGAAGAAAAGAAAAAAGAGGGCTGACTGTAGTTTAAAATAAAAAGAACAGGAAACTGAAAACAAACAAAAACACAAATATAGATGATTAAATATTAAAATATGTTTGTTTTTATTTACAGACACATAGAACAGCTCAAAGATAAACAAAGTTCAGATGTTCATCTGTAAAATGTTTCACTTTCAGTAAACTAAAGTTCACGTGAACAAATCTGAGCTCCAAATAATCTACCTCTACATATTTACTCTTTATATATTTACACTTTATATATTTTGCTCTTTATATATTTACTCTTTATATATTTTGCTCTTTATATATTTACTCTTTATATATTTTGCTCTTTATATATTTACTCTTTATATATTTTGCTCTTTATATATTTACACTTTATATATTTACTCTTTATATATTTACTCTTTATATATTTTGCTCTTTATATATTTACACTTTATATATTTACTCTATATATTTTGCTCTTTATATATTTACTCTTTATATATTTACACTTTATATATTTTCTCTTTATATATTTACACTCTATATCTTTTCTCTT